TTATGACTCTTATTTATTGATTGAGATAGAGTCTTGCTCTGTTGCCCAGGCTGGAGTGCAGTGGCTTGATCACGGCTCCCTGCAGCCTCAACCTTCCGGGCTCCAGTGGTCCTCCGACCTCAGAAATAGCTGGGAATACAGACACAGACACCTGCCACCATGCCCAGCTAAATTTTTTTTTTTTTAAAGACGGGGTTTCACCGTGTTGGTCAGTCTGGTCTCGAACTCCTGACCTCAGCTGATCCGCCCACCTCGGCCTCCCAGAGTGCTGGGATTATAGGCGTGAGCCACCGTGCCCGGCCTGCCCAGCTAATTTTTTAAAAAATCTTTTTGGAGATGGGATTTCACTATGTTGCCAGGGCTGGTCTGGAACTCCTAGGGCTCAAGAGATCATCTATCTGGCCTTAGCCTCCCAAAGTGCTGTCATTACATGTGTGAGCCACCATGCCTGGCCTCTCTTGACTTTTTCTGTTGCTTTTTTTTCCTTTTATTTGAGATGTAGTTTCACTCTTGTTGTCCAGGCTGGAGTGCAATGGCACAGTCCCAGCTCACCACAACCTCCGCCTCCTGGGTTCAAGTGATTCTCCTGCATCAGCCTCCTGAGTAGTAGCTGGGATTACAGGCATGCACCACCATATGTGGCTAATTTTGTATTTTTAGTAGAGATGGTCCCTGGTAGTCTAGTGGCTAAAAACAAAACAAAACGAAACAAAGGGACGGGATTTCTCCATGTTGGTCACGCTGGTCTCGAACTCCCAACCTCAGGTGATTCATCCACCTGGGATAACAGGCGTGAGCCGTCGCTCCTGACCCTGTCTAGACTTTTTATAAGGGCTCTAATCCCATTTGTGAGGGATCTATGCTGGTAACCTAATCACCTCCCAAAGGCCCCGCCTCCTAATGCCATCACAAGTGGGGATGGGTAGTATTTGAAAGTATGAATTTTAGAGAGACACAAACATTCTGTCTACAGCAGACACTCTTTCTCCTCCCTGCCAAAAACAGAAAAAACTGGTGATTTTGTTTGCTTAGTCTTTTGATTTGACTAATAAGAGATCACATTTTGTGAGCTTGTTAAGTCAACATTGACTGGAATTTTCATTTTATTGGAGTAAGTTGTATTAGGGGAGTCATTGGTTTTAGCTCTGGTTGTGAGAGCAAAGTAGCTGTACCTTACGACTTGATCATAAAGTCGTTCTCAGCAAAACGAAACTCGTTGTTAAAGACAGAACCAGGGCCGGGCGCGGTGGCTCATGCCTATAATCCCAGCACTTTGGGAGGCCAAGGTGAGTGGATCACAAGGTCAAGAGATCGAGACCATCCTGGTCAACATGGTGAAACCCCATCTCTACTAAAAAATACAAAAATTAACTGGGGATGGTGGCGCACACCTGTAGTCCCAGCTACTTGGGAGGTTGAGGCAGGAGAACTGCTTGAACCCAGGAGGC